TAAAAAAGAAAAAGTGGGAATACATTCGAGAGTATAACTTTGAACGTTTCTCAGGATATAATGAAGCGAAAGAGTGATTTTCGAAAAAGCGTAAGGGGGATTAGATGGAGCAAACGTTCAGGTATTCATAGTTGCATATTCTTTTAGGATGCGATACCGAACATCGAAGAGAACTAAGTTAAGAGAAAAAAGTAAAAAGTAGGGAAAGAAAATAACAAAGGGTTGTGGTAAGAGACGAAATGGTTGACTAGTACTACTGTGCTAGTCCGCGTGACGTCATAAATGGAAGGGGGCAAGGGAAAGTTGGAATAGGGGGTGGAAGGAGAAGGAAGAAGAGATGGAATAGGAGGAGTAGGAGGAGTAGGAGGAGGAAGAGAAGCCTGTTGAAGATGCAAAGGAAGAAGGAACACTCGAGGGTTTAGCTGACGTGGCTTTACGTGCCGGTATAATGGCCCTTGTCTTCGCGGTTCCAAGTTCTATTCAAGCTTGAGGCGACTCACCGGTCGCTGAGCGACACCCAACGTCGTTAAATCTGCTTAGCAAGCCTCACCTTACGCTTCCTCATTTCCTCTTTTCTCTTTACCTCTCCTTTAACTCTCCTACGTTTTCTTTCCTCTTTCTCATTCGATTGGAAAAAAGAACAAATAAAAAAAAAAGAAGTTTTACATCTATCTATCTTCGAGTATATCGCAGCTCTTTTTTTTTTATCTTTCCTTATATATCCTCGTATATTCGTCTCACAATTAGGATAACAAATATCTGTGCTGGTAATCCGATTCAATCTAATGAATACGGTAGAATCTCTAACGATTTTATTTGAAATAATCGTAATGGAGTTTGTAATAGTATCGCTGATTTTCTTCTCAAAATGCTGCAAATAGTACTTCTTTCTTTTCTTTTATTCTTTCTTTCTTATTTTTTACTTTGTTAAGAATCTCTTAATGGTATTTAAGAGTTATACGAGAGAAAAGGAAGCTTACGTTTTTCATCTTTCAATTCGTATCTTACATCAATTCCCCTAATCCTGCATCCCCTTTTTTTCCCTCTTATTCTCTCATATTCGTCTTACAATTAGGGATAAGAAATTTGTTCGCAACTCACTCGGAATAGGTAGGATCAAATCTCGATAGATTCTATTTGGGACAATCATAATAGAATTTGAGAAATAGTATCGCTGATATTTTTTTTTTCCCTAAGACTGCGGCGTCCTCTTTTTATTTCTTCTTTTTATTATTTTATTTTTAAAAAATCAGTGAGAAACGCAGAGGATACAGAGGAAAAAGAGATAGATATAGATAGATAGAGAGAAAACGAAATCAAACTACCCAAGGGAATCGAATCTACGTTTCCTCTCCGGCGGCACAGTAATCCTCCGTATTTCCCTCTCGACCTTACGATTCACTCACTCACTCCGAGGTAACTTCAGCCAAGCTTCTCATCTACCTACGCGCAAATCCCACCTCTTTCTACCTACATCTTCTATCTCTCTTTCGAACGGTCTACAAATTGAATCTACTCGTCCCGTCCCGTCCCGTCCCGTCCCATCCCAACTACTACTTTTTTTTTTTTACTCCTACGTTGTCGTTCGATTCTAATGAGATCCTTCGGTGTTGAGTTATTCGCGAGAGTATCCCGAATACTTTTACTCGAATCAGAACGAGAAAAATACTCCCTATTCGTTTTAAAGATGAAGATGAAGGAGAGAGAAACCCGGGGAACTCTGGAAGCGGGTTAGGGGATAAACTGACTGAATGAGAAGGGGCGAGGGGATAACATTTGCATCTAAAAACGAAAGAATGCAAGACACGTCGGACCAAGCTCTTGTATATGGAAGGGGAAGCATAGTAAATAGGCGAACAAGCGTAGAAACGACGTTTGACGGTGAACTCACGCTTCCGGATTATTTACGAGCTGGATGAGACCTGACTCTGTTAGCACGGTAATGTACTCTAGGCCATCTCCATTATTCAACAACGAAGTTAGGATAAGAATGAATCGGTTAGATCGGAAAGATCAATTCGTGGAATAAGCTGCCAATTTTTGTTCTCTATCTCGATTACCACTAGAACATTCGTATATGTATTTCGTTTCACGTTTGTCTCTTGCGAATGTAACTTTTCTTATCTTTCGTTTTTTATCATATCCTATCTGGATGTTTCGGTCATGAGCAAAAGGGATAGAGAGAGAGAGAGAGAGTGAAAGGGAGAGGGAGAGAGAGCTTTGAGCAAGGTCATCTCGATATAGTTGTTTCTATCCTAGGGGAAAAGGTACCGAGTATAACTTGGTCTGATACGTTCGTCAAGAAACTTTGATGTTCTTGGTCCGATGGAAATTAGGTGAAATTTTAGTTCTACGTGTTAAGGAATAATGAATATAACAGAATATGCAACAGATTATTAATACGGATATGATCTATATTTGCGTTGGCTCATCAAAAAGTTATATCGTTCGTCTTATTTAAAGTTTATTATCAATTTTTATCGTAGAAACGTAACGAAGAAATTGTCAAGAAATTTTTTTGTCATCATTTTTATAACAAACGAGATCTGTACTTAACGAGTTTCGAAATTACTGGGTTTAAATTATTTTTCGATATCTTATCTAAAAAAAAAAAATATATCTTTTAAGTGTATTTCTATTGCGCGTTGAAATGCATTTTTTTTCTTTTTAAAAATGTTCTTACAAAAGTTGTCGTTAAGAAGGATGTTCTTGAATTAAAACTTTGCTGTAAATTAAGTAATAAATATATGCAAATTTCGACTGCGTAGTACTTATATAACAGCTCGTGCTATTAGTAATAATATTTCTTCTTTTTTTATTTTTTTTGTTCAAATAGAAGCATAGTGCCTCCATCTTTAGTTGTCTAACGAAAATACCAAGAAGTTTTCTATCGATCCGTTTTTAGTCAAACGATGAAACACTTGGATAAAGAAATTCGATATCACGAAACCGAAACGAACCCGATTGATAAAATACTTAACGTTGGTTAGATAGTAATAAAAGCTCTTTTACCTTTCAAATTTCGAAAAGTTCTTTAACGTAAAAACTCGTTTATCCTCTTCCGGCAAAGTATTTCATCGACATATGGAACTTGAGATTTTCTTAAGATAAAATTATAATTATTCTACGAAGGAGAATACCCAAGGTAATCTCGGACAATCACGAAAGTTTAACAAAAAGTAAGAGCATATAACTATTGAAAAGTTTTTTAATTGGACCTAAAATACAATCTAATCGTGGCCGAAATTGGGACAGCAGGGTAGTTTCAGCGGGATTGATTCTAAAAAGAAACCTTGACGATTAAAAATTGGGTCATAATGCATATAGCAAATATTACATAACAACTCGGAGTCGCGAGACAAAGATCGACGAAAAACTGGAATAACGAGTAGTACGTAGGTATTCATGAAATTATTCCCATCGGCTTGGATTCTCACGACGACGACTGTAACCGAGGAAAAAAAAAAAAAAAAAAAAAAAAAAATGGAAAAAAAAACGTAGTATCATTTCTTTATTCGGTAAAATAAAGAGATGACTTGAAAAACGTGTCTATTTTTTTTCATTCTCAACAGACGGACGCATAGGGCNAAATTGGGTCATAATGCATATAGCAAATATTACATAACAACTCGGAGTCGCGAGACAAAGATCGACGAAAAACTGGAATAACGAGTAGTACGTAGTTCATCATGAAATTATTCCCATCGGCTTGAAATCTCACGACGACGGCCTTTAGAGAGAAAAAAAAAAAAAAAAGAATAATGGAAAAGAAAACGTAGTATCATTTCTTTATTCGGTAAAATAAAGAGATGACTTGAAAAACGTGTCTATTTTTTTTCATTCTCAACAGACGGACGCATAGGGCTCCAAACAATAATAACGCATTGGAAGGATGAAAAGCTTTTCTGCCCTTCGGTTAAATCCCTTCCCTTTCTCGTTTCCTTTGTCATGAAGCTTTCTCTCATTCCATTTCTAGCATCTCACTTTCGCCTCTCATACGATCGAGGTAGCAAGCAGCAAAAGGTATCAGCATCGGCACGTATCCTCGTTTTCTGTCGCGACCGAGTTAGGCGGTCTGAGTTCGCACATGCGCCCATTTGCTAAAGCTCGCGATAGCGAGTAAGAGAAGGATGGGAAGAGGGTGAGAGAAGACAGAAGGGGTCGTCAAGGAAATCAATACGGCAATGTCCGCCGGTAACCGGCCCAGTCGGGGCTCATCCTTTGCAAGTATCGCATCGAAGCTAGTGCAAGATCAACAACGTTACTACGTCAGCATAGTCGTCATCAGGAGGGTCCATTTCGGTCGAAGGTCATAAACGAGGATCGACCTCGTACCAGAAAACCAAATAATTATTAGTGGAAACAGAAAAGGAGGAAAGTTGAGCGACGTTAATTGCATAAAGGAAGATAAAAGGGGAAGATAGAAAGAAAAAAAGGAAGAAATAAAGAAAGAAAGAAAGAAAGAAAGGAAAAAAGAAAGGAAGAAAGAAAGCAGGAAGGAATAAAGGAAGGAAGGAAGGCGGAACCACCTTCTAAATCGTAGTTCTGTGAATACAAGAGAAGGGGGAGGAAGGGTGATATCATTGGTAGGGTGTCGAGCAGATATCACGAAGGTAACTGACCCTGTGCAACAGTGGCAATTCTCCCGATCCTATCGCAAAGCTTCTAACGTGAAGGAGGAGAAGATCACTTGAAAACTACAACTTGTTCCTTGACTAAATATCCATCAAAAAAAAAAAAGAAAAAAAAGAAAAAAGAGAAATATTTATTGATAAAGTATTATATTAAGTGAGATATTCATCGAGGAACGACATCGGTTTGTGTCTATATTCCTTTATCCTCTGTCTGTCTATTTCTGTCTCTCTCACTCTCTCTCTCTCTCTTCTCGAAGAGGATTCAGTTCTTCTATTCTATTCGATAAAAAGAAGATAATAATAATAATAATAATAATAATAATAATAAAAAAGGGAGGATAAGGTGAAAAACACGATTTGAACAGTCGAAACATACGTTACGTCGAATATTATTTCAAGTAAAACGATCGAGTTAACAACAGGCAGGGAGAAACCCGGCAGGCTGTTGGGACGTCTGATAGGCGCTCGCGATTGCTCGTTCCGCAGTGATTTATCTCAACACTCCCAAAACGGCAACCCGTCGTTGTCGTGGTGCTGCCGGGGCCCCGCCGTTAGCCGCGAGAGATCGCGAGAAGGGAACACGGCAGAATCGATCGGAGGATCAACGAGAGGATCGGTTGCCTCCTCCGCAAACGTTACCACCGCTTCCTACGCCGCATCTTGTTGGCGGCCAAGTGAGATGGAGAAGTCCTCGGCGCGCTTCTCGGAGTACCTGTTCGCCAAGATGGACGGGCAGGACGTCTCGGCCTCTCAGGGTCCCCGCAAGGTGACCGCCGACACTAGGAAGTGGATGCGGGAGAATCTCTTGCTTATGATCACTCTGTCAGGTGTACTTCTTGGTGTGATCCTTGGTAGGTATTTCCGAAACAAAAAAAAAAAAAAAGAAAAAAAGAATAACCATTTATAGTAATTCGTTTATTTATCTCATTATTATATCGCGCAATCAATTTATTGATCGAAATATCCCTACGGAGGATACTTTATCTATTCTTTAACTGGACATACATACATACATACATTTTCTTCTTCTTCTTGTTTTCTTTTGAATATGGTAATAACGCGATAAGAGTGAGATTGATTGATTTGTTATTTATGATATTAAAAAGAGAAAAAAAAGAAAAAGGAAGAGAGGATTAAAAAAAACAAGGCATATTTTACCCTACCCTAACAGTTTTCTCCGTAACCGCATTTGTTTATTTATAAACATCGGACGGGGATGGGTCAAACGGCTTTTACTTTGCAGGATAAAGTGCGAATTAATGATTTACCATAGAAGCCAAAGTAACCGATAATTGCCACCTCGTTATATTACGCTACGTGTCATATCTATTCTCGAAATTTTAATTATCCCATTCGATATTTATTATTTTAATAGGATAAAATATTTCAAGGATTTTTTCTCTATGTCTACGTTTTTACGTATTTTTATAATAATTTTTATCGATTACAATACAATTATTTTAATTTATTTCAATAAATAAGGGGTTAAGTTGCTCGTTGTAAAAAGAAAGAAAAAGAAAAAGATCGAAAGTTATCTTAAGACAAAAAAGATTTAAATAAGTAATAGAGCCATTCGTATTTCTACCGTATCACACGTGTACTCTCGATAATCAATGGATTGTACGGATGTTGAAGTAACACACGTACCAAGTGCATATATGCAAATGTATGGTCGATAAGTAATTGCTTGTCTATAGAATGAGAAGGGAATATCGGGCTAGGTACATATACATTAAAGTTATTGTCCTTTCAAATTCCCACATCGCTTTTGTATTCTTTCTTTTAGAAAGAATTGTCTATCATACATGTAAATATAATACGTTTCCAAGTACTGGTCTTTTAAAATACAGGATCGATCCTATCTAATAAAACGATATGATAAAGTTCACGAGCAATTTTCACCAAATATTTTTTCTATTTTTACTATTATTTTTACTATTATTTTTACTATTATTATTATTCAAAGTGACGTGTACAACTATGACCAAATAACGAACTATTTTACCATTGGCATTCGTATGTTTTCTTTGCATTCGATCGAGTTCGTTACTGTGTTGAAGCAAACAACAGATACTTATCGTTATTGTCCATAGTGGAACACCTCTCATTTTTATTTCTACCTTTTTTTTTCTTTTTTTCTTCATGATTGATCATATGTACACTGTCCTTTATATTTCTGTTGGCCTTGGTTCTCTTGGCATATAGCTGCTCTTGGCATATCGTGAAAACGATTTATCACGTGGACTCTTACTTTAATGTTCTTTATATCTCTTCGATGCGATTTCAATGACAATATATTTCTGTGCCATAATTTGAGAAACTGAATAATATCGTTAACTTGTCATCATTAATGGTATCAACTTTGTATTATTTGAAAGAATTCCTTTTTTCTTTTTGTTTTATTTTTTTGTTATTCGTGATCATGAATCAAGCGTACGACAGAAAGCTCATAATAAAACAATGTGGCTCTCGTTGATAATTCAATACCCAATGACATCAGATTTTCGTCGCTAGAATGTTCATAAATATTAAATTAAATTACAAATCAAAGCCAGACTATAATCTTATGAACTATTTTTGTAGAATAAAGAAAGTATATTTTACAAAGATAATTATGCAAAGAATATATCACAAAGTCGGTATTTGCGTCGATCGATAAAGCTTAAGTTTATGAGAGTTATATTTTATATTTCCACGTCAACGATATAGATTTTACTTACAAAGGTACGCGTAAAATAGTAATCGAGAAGAAAATTCAGTATAATTTACGATACGAATCATTTTCCAACTTTATTTCATCCGTAAGGAAGACTAACACGAGGGATCGTTCGATTATACGCTTTCAAATGACTATCCAATAATATTTAATTAACTTTACGAGTGGAGGAAGAAAAAAATCAATTTTCTATAGTTTACACTTCATAAGTATACAAAAAGAATTGTATTATAAAACGTATTTTCATGCATTCATAAAACATAGTCATATGTGCAATAATCATTTATTAAAAAATAATTACAAAAATTGTTATCATAATCCTATAATAATAGATAACACAATAAGTAGGAAACGTATTTAAAAGAGAAACGTCACGCACGTTGCTCTTTAGAAATGGTTATGCATAGAAACGTTTCCTCGTATCTTCAAGGCTTTTACTCGTTAATTTTCATATCTACGATGCTCGAGTCATCTTCGCAATATCGATCGTGAATTTCGTAAGAATTCGTGCCAACGAGGACGTAATGAAAAATTCTGAATGATTATGTTCAAAAGAAAAAGAATACTATTCTAATGCGTGTGTGTGTCGGGCGAATAGGTCGGGGTGGAATTGATTACGTGTGTATTCGTACGTTATTGACGACCCAGTTCGAAATTACCGTATTCGTTACGTAAAACTTTTGCTGTGGTCACATTATCCCGTTAAAAGGTGTCAATCATCGACGAGAGGTTTCCTTCAAAAGTCTCATCTAATTAACTTTTCCTACCGAAACTCGATCTTACTTAAACTCGTATCTTTAACATGACCCTTTGGAAAGGATCAAGGACGGTTTCTGTTTCTTCTTAATATTATATCGAATTAGAATCCATATAGAATGCACGTAGTGCATTTCCACCTACGATTTTTCGGTAATCCTTTCGTTCGGTAAACCTTTCGTTGAAAGATTATTCGAAAAGTAGTTATTTTCTTTGAATAGAGAAAGAGAGAGAAAGAAAGTAAAGCTTAACTTATCAAATGTCTTCTTTTCTACGAGCTTCTTAGTACGTCTTATTAATTTTTATTTAAATACAATGAAACGTTCATCAACGCTTTCAACCAATTACTCGGTAACATCTTATATTTTAAAAAAGAAACTTTATTCAATTAGAAATATAATTATCTCGATAGGTAGGATACTTCAATCTAAAGGAGTTGGTTAATTTCTTTTTAAATCTACTTTTACCATGTTACAGTATCTTTTATTACAAAAATGATCTTTTATAATTAAAGGATTTGGTTTGCGACCATTGGGCCTTAGCGAAGACGCTGTCATGTTGATCAGCTATCCTGGAGAACTTTTTATGCGAATATTGAAATTAATGATCCTACCGTTGGTAATTGCTAGCCTCATATCAGGTAAGTTTTATTATATATATACTTTAAACAACAACAAAATAATAATACATTTAATATATCACATTTATTAAATATCATTTTTTTTTTATTTGATTATAAAGGTTCAGCCAGTTTGAACGCTAGGATGAACGGAATGATAGCCGTACGAACTCTCGTCTATTTCATACTCACGTCTTTCCTTAATGCCGTAATAGGAGTTATCCTTGTTCTTGTTATTCATCCTGGAAATCCAGGAATCAGGGAATCGATTACACTTCCGACTCACGCCAGAGCCGTCAACATCTTAGACAGCCTTCTGGATTTAGGAAGGTAATGAACAATTCTACTTTTATCTTCCATCTTGACATTTTCCAAGACGTAGGAGTCGACAAGTTTCATTTCCATTCCTAATAAATTCTTTATTTCTTCTCTTTCTTATTGTCATTCAATAAGCTTGTTTTATTTTTAACCAAAATAACATTGAGCCGTGGTTTATTGCGTGAAAACTATCGTAGGTGTTGATTAATGAAAGATTTAACTCGTATAAGAGAATAGAAAAAGGAAAAAAAGTGAAATATCGTAGCTTCTAAGTTGAAGGATTAAGGTCGCTCGGTTTCACGATCGCCAAAACTATTAAAACGAAGAACACTCATTGTGATCACGAACACCACTACATTTACTAACCAAGAGACCAAAATAGATGTGCATCGATCGTGCGTGATTTATTCATGCGCGAAGTACACTTTTTCCTTGTCCGTGGTATCTTTCGTCATATGGGCGGCACTACTAAACGTTTTGTTCAAAGTCTTCGAATCGTAAAGTGTCCTCTTTATAGAAACGCTACTTGGGTGTAGAGACGTCATTTAATTCAATCGTTTTTAATGCTTTTATTTTTAGGAACATGTTTCCTGACAATCTCTTTCAAGCTGCATTTCAACAGGTAAAAAGAATCTTCTTTAATTATTTATATCAAAAAGAAATCAAAAGATTTAATAATAATAATGATAATATATGGATATTGTGTTTTAAAGGCACATACCGTTTACGTACCAAGAAAACCACCGGTACAAAATCAAACCGATGGTTTATCGGTCAAAGTAGTCGGCGAAGAAGACCTGATAAGAGTGATCCAATATAGAAGTGGTACCAATACTTTAGGCATCGTCTTCTTTTGTCTAGTCTTTGGCACTTTCCTAGGTACCCTTGGCGAAAAGGGTCAGGTTGTGATAGATTTCTTCAAGGCTGTTTTCGAGGTCATTATGCGAATGGTCTCCACTGTAATGTGGTACGTAAATCTTAACAAACAACAAGAAATAGAATCCAATTGAAATTATAATAGATTGATTATTAATCAAAATGATTTTGATTAAACAGGATGACACCAATAGGTATAACTTCAGTAATAGCAGGGAAAGTCCTCGGTGTGAACGATCTGGCGTTGGTAATGTCGCAGCTAGCCTGGTTCATCGTCACGATCGTGATCGGTGTCTTTTTCTATCAGCTGGTGGTGATGCAGCTTATCTACCTGGCCGTCGTGAGAAAGAACCCCTTTAGATTCTACGCCGGCCTCGCCCAGGGTACACTCACCGCCTTCGCCATGGCATCAACGTGAGTCGTCGACCTTCGAATCCCAGCCCGACCTTCAGAGAACCCATCACGCCTGCCTTAAGGGGCCTCGGTCGTCATCGTCATTGTCGATTTCGATCCTGTTTCTCCACTTTTCTTTTTCTTTTCTGTTTCCTAACATCATTTAAGAGAACAGAAAGAACGTTAAGGAAATATCAGTTTCTTCTATTCCCAACACTGAAAAAAAAAAACAAAAAATAATCATTTTTCCCAATCGTCTTTCTCTCAATATAATTTTTTTGTAATCTATTTATCATATGTGACTCTCTTACGTGATGGTGATCGTCCTATTAAATCTGCACGCGCACGATATACCGATGACGACGTGAAGACAGTGAACGTTTTCGAGAAACGGAAGGGCGTGTCGAAACGACTTGAATCGATTTTTTATAGAAACAATGTGTTTCAGCCAGCCGAGTGGAGTGGCTTTACGAGGCCGTGGTCCCCGAATCCTATTCCCTAAAATTTGGCCCTAAGATTTATACGGCGTTTAAAAGATGTATTATTTTATCTTATCGTGTTGCATTATCGTTTCCATATTGCGGAAAACGTCTTGTCTCAATTAGGTTTGTTATATTTTTTTTTTTTTTTTTTTTTTTTTTTTTTTTTTTTTCTTTTTTCTTTTTTCCTTTTCACGTCGACAAAACGTTGTATAATTCTAGCCGTGATAATAATCCTTTCCCATCCTTCCTAGAACATTTTACACAATCTCTCTATTGTTATCGCGTTGTTCGCGAGGAGAGCTCGTCATGCCCCATGAAAAAGTGAGAAAGAGAGAGAGAGAGAGAGAAAGGGAGAGAGGTATGCAGTTCCGGGTGGCACTTAGGATGTGGATTACTACCGGTACCTGATACTCCGTGACTCGAACTTCCTCCGATCAATTATCGATTTTAAATTACGGAAGTTCGAGTGAAAATCGGAGTGAAAGATTTCCACGTAACGCACGTAAAATGAACTCTTTCATCTAGGCAATATATTATGTTTCATTTTATTTCAAGTTGGTGGAACTCTTCAGGAAAATTGTTAATATCGTTCAAACCGGAAATCGGCTGACTCCGTGTCACCTGGACTGATTTGTGGCGTGGAAGCTTCCTCGAATTTATTCGAGGAGGGCTCCACGTTTGATAATATTTTCATCGTTTATTTAGCTAAGTATTAGCATTTTGTACAATTTTTCAAGAGGAACTGGAAAAATATTGGTTGTTTGCGCCGAGCCCGCTCTTCCAGGTTTGACGGGGACGTCCTTGACTGGCGAGAGCTGCTGGACCACGTGCGATCATTATTTTTTACATCTCGATCATTCATTTGTGCGGATCGCGCGAAGCAACGATCATTTTTCCAGTTCAATGACCTTTCCACGTTCCCAAATCGCTGACGTAGAATTACTTTTATATTAAAGAAAATGCGCAAGAAATAATTTCATCAATCTATCTTGAACACACGCAAAAATTTATATTAAATATTATTTAATATTTTCGATATTTCATTAACGAATCGCGTTACTTGTATAAAGTCTCTTTATTTGTTCGTAAAAATATTATTAAATCCGGTCTTCCTTCTTCGTACCTAAAATTGTAAGTGTGTTATTCCGAAATGTTCTTCCTTAAATTATGATTCGAAAATCAATGTTAAATTTTTAGAATCGTTCGGTATAATTCGAAACAATTTTCTAAATATCATTTCTACGTCAATATTTCCACGAATTCATTTCCACCAGCCAATAAGAAAAAGTATCCGATGGAAATCTGTGGTTTAACCAGAACGGTCGACCTCCAGCTTTCCTTGGTTCCTCTCTCCCTCAACCCTGGACCTTAATCACTCAGCCATAATCATCGTTAACGTCGAATCATCGACAGTGCATATCTAATTCAACCTGTTTTCTCTGTGGATTAACTTTTTCCAGAAAAGAATCGTACACAACTGTGCGTACACTGTGACACTGTGAGACACTGAGTTATCAGTGTATCTGAACAAAGACTATATGAATATCATGATGATGTATTAGAACACGCGCTGCACGCGGCCTTTTGCAGGTGGTTGACACTAACAAAAAGAGAAAGAGAGAGAGAGAGAGAGAGAGAGAGAGAGAGAATGACCGAGGGTGGCCCTTGGTAAGTATTTAATGGCCGCAGATGAAGGTACATACAATTGTCTGTTACAGATTAAATTAACTACAACGTCAACTTGGAAATTGGACCGATTAGCAGGCAACCTCAACCATTATCCGTGATTAATGCCGCTTGATTTTCAGTTCTTCGTCACGGTCATTCTGGCTGTCCTTGATAGATTCTCTGATGTCTCTCGATCCTTCTCCCGTTCGTACGTTTAGAAACGAAAAAGAGTTAGATGAACGAGTCTTAGTCGACTCGTTTTGCATATCATTCGGTTTCGTGAGCATGAAATGACCTCTCCGTATTGTTATCATTACTATTATTACTGCCAATTCAATCATTTCGTATAATATTATCCATATAGATGAATATGTAATAATACGATGATACTATACATTTCTAAAATATTAATATCGTTTAGAAAGAAATGATTTCTTTTAATCGATAGAAAAAAGATCTCTTACTTAACGCCAGAATGATCCTTATCGGCAGCAACCCTGGGGCATGCGGATTTATCCTTTTTTATTAAAAACGAGAACGTTGGCCTGGTGTTTCTCTAACATAGCTTTGTACAGGGCCGCCGCACTCCCCGTTACTTTTCGACTGATGACCGAGAAGCTCAGGGTCGATCCCAGAGTCACCAGATTCGTCCTCCCGATTGGGTGCAACATCAATATGGACGGTACCGCACTCTTCGTCGCGGTCGCAAGTATCTTCATCGCTCAGATGAACGGGATTATTTTGGGTTTCGGGGAGATCATTACTGTTATGTAAGTTTAATATTTAATATATTTGTTGTTCAATAATCTTTAATAAACTAGTCACAAGAAAGTTCATATCTTTCTTTTTTGTAGTTTGACATCCACAGCAGCATCCGTTTCTTCAGCTTCAGTTCCAAGTGCAGCTCTAGTTTTATTACTAGTTGTTTTGAGTGCCATTGACGCACCTGTTCATGACGTTTCTCTTCTATTTGCTATTGATTGGTTTGTGTAAGTTTCTTATTTTATATTACAATTATATCTGTATATAGATATCTTCAACATAATTCAATACAATCTATATACGAACTATGTTTTACAGAGATCGTATAAGAACGACCAATAATATGTTAGGAGATTGTTATGCGGCTGCTGTAGTAGAACAATTGTCTAAAAAAGAATTAATGGCATTGGACGCAGCAGCTTATCAGGTAGATTACAATCAATGTTAGGGTAATTATTATATATTTAAGTATCATTACACACTAATCGGTATTTGTGATCTTTCTTCAAGTCTGAAACAGTACTGCCCACAACCTTAGCCAATGGATGCATCTCGGCTAACAGGGTACCCGATCCTGATACTATCGTCGTTGAAATGCAAGACGACACGAGGATAGCCGGCATCGCCAAGTAAACTAACTTGTTGGTAGGGCTAGGCTATCACTTTATATGCTCATTAACGACATTTGCTTTGCAAATCCAATCAACTTACTCAAGCTTATCGATTAATACTTTTTTCTTATTTTTTATTTGAAAATCAAATGCTTATTAAATCATCAAACCATCCTCTAATACGCTTTTATTTCTAACTTCGTTTGTTTTTGAGGGTGAGTCGTTGATTACATCGTAGATTACATAAATAATATATCGATGGTAATGTAACGCGCTTGTCGTTGGAACGATTCATGAAACGAGTCTCGAACTCGACTCACCACCATGTGGCTTGTATGCAAATCATTGCGCAACCAGCTTTAAAATACATACAACACGATAAGTCGATACGTGATGATGTAAGAACATTCAGTTTACACGTTATAGTTCAATGATCAGGCTAGAGCTACGTGGAAAAATACTATTGTCTGTTCTGTCTATAAATGAAAGTCTGCTTTATCGTTTTGTTATTTGTAAATCGATCGTTCGTTGGATGAATATTTAATAAGAACCAAACAGTGCAAACTTCAATCCTTTCTTTCATTCGACTAATTACATAAATCTAACATTAATTGTTGTCATTCGTACCAGAACATATTATCACACGTGATGTAGAATCATTTGAAATACCTTCGATTCATTTTGATCATGCATTTGTTGCATTAGATGTATTATCCCTTTGTTCATGTCAGGAAACAATCTTGCTATTAGTTCGAACTTCGTTATCAAAAGTGATACTTTAAGACGTTATTTTATATTTGGATATTTGTCCTTTTGTTTTGTTTTTAGTATCAGCGTACTACCAATACCACGAAGTGTAACGGAGGAGACCGTTTGACTAATGGCCGATCTCGCAAGACAATTTAATACGGTATACCAACGAGATATGCCGATCGAATGAGAACAAAAACTCTCAGTGGCGAGGTTAAACATTAGGCACGCCAGTGCCTTTATTTTCCCCCTAATTCATTTCTTTTTCGTTTAATTTTATTTATAAAAAAAAAAAAGAAACTAGAGTTATACCAACTTTTCTCAATTCCCCAAAAGAAAGAAAGAAAGAAAATGTCGACAGAGACACTCGGCTTGGACACTCGATGACTATAAGAAAAGTCACGGATTTACTATTTCTTCATTTTTCGAAAGAGTTTAAGTGAGCAAAGTTTTTAGAGACTGCGATTCGATTTACCCGTGAAAAAGAGGGATAGATAAAAAGAGAAGGTTCGAACGCAAGACAATTTTAAATGGAACAAAATATTGAAACAAAAAATGAAATGAAAAGGAGTCAATATCGTATCGAGACGCGCGTGCGTTTACGATACAAGAGTAGCAATAAAATATTTGAGATACGTAAGTTTAAAAAAAAAAAAGATACAAAATGCGCTTCTATAAATTACTATAGGAGCACCGAGGTGCGGAGATTCGATGATTCGCGCGTAAAAAAAAATCTATCGCTCGTGTATACTACGAAAGTGTGTTTTCCCCGTCAATTTTTTTCGTCTATTCTTCTCTAATAGATCTTTCTTTTTTCTTTTGTACGATTTTTTTTCCTCTTATTTTCTTTCTTCTTTTTTTTTTTTCTTTTCTTTTTCTAAAATCAAAATTGGTACTCGTTACTCCGAATGAAACGGTAGTTTTCGGAACGATAAAAAAACGATGGACAATTTTGCTGGTAAATGAAGAAAAAAAAAAAAAAATAATTGTCGATTATTAACGTGAAAACAAAAAAAAAAACTAAATATTTAGTCTGTCTCACTTGACAAGTGATCATTCGCATCGTCGAATGGTGGTGCCTTAATTTCGATGCGCCCTCGGATTAGGTGCGATGAAAGTAATGCGCGTCGTTGATGTATTAATTTTCATTAACGTTTTAACAAAACACACACATCACCATTAATTCTTTGAAGAGAAACAACAACAACAATAACAACAAAAAAGAAAAGAGAAAGAAGAGAAGGGAAAAGAAAAGAAAAAAAACAAACGAGTAATGTGTTTTCCTGCAAAAATGTTCTTGGGTATTATTATCGTCAAAGATAGACGATAATGATAACAATTAATTTAATACTTTGTATTTAATCATCGACGTACGATGATCGATCGATCGATCCTAGTCAATGACGCGAGAGAAATCGTGTCAGTTGGTTTGAAGAAAAACAAAGCAAAAGAAAAAAAAAAAAAAAGAAAAAGAAAATGAACAAAAAGAAATAAAAATAAAGTAAAAGAAATAATTTCATCGCGAGTGATACCTATAGTAAGTGAGACACATCGTAAGTGAGAACTAGTGAGAAGAGTGAGATTTAAGGATTTATAAACAAATGTACATTATAAACGAGTAGCGTTTCCTGCGTGTTAAACGTGTTTAGCATCATCGAACCCTTTGAAAACAAACAAAAACAAAACAAAAAAAAATAACAAGAAAAAACAAAAAAAAATCATTTATAATATAAAAAAATGCATTAAACAAATACAAGCCTCGTCCGATAGTTCTTAGCAATCAAATTACTCGATCGTATTTCCCTCCCCGCTTCGGGGGAGAAAATAATGATGATTATTAAAGAATAATGCACCACATTATAAGGGATTATACGTAGATATCCTAAGATATTAAACAAAGTTCGTTGTAATTAAGTATAATTACATATCCGCGATGCGTTGCTAGTCGTGTAAGAGAGAACGTAAGAAATACAAAAAAAAAAAAATACAAAAAAAAAAATAAAACAAAAGGTGCTACGAGATATGTTTACGCAAGACTAATGACGTCGTTGTTTCTTCTCACGAATGAGATAAAAAAAAGAGTTAGCCTAGCTTTTATTTTTATTCTTTTTCTCGTAGTATAGTGTTCGCGTCCGTCATTGGCTATGATGATTCGATTGCTTGTATAATAAAAAAAAAAAAAAAAAAACAAAAAAAGAAAAAAGAAAGAAAGGAGAAACAGAAGAAAAGTAAAAGACATGATAATCAAAAAAAAAAAACAAAAAACAAAAAGAAGAAGAAGCTAAAAATTGATTACAAAAAAAGAAAGAAAGAAAGTAAGGAAAAAAAGAACAAACGTTGTTGCTTTTTTTTACATTCTCGTCGATTTACTTACGATAGAATCGAATTCAAATCGATTTTTGCGACGAGATAGATAAGAAGAGAGAATTTCAAATGATACTGATACAGGTATAAAACGTCATATCGCGCAGTTTCGCGTTTCATTGTTTGTCAAATTAACACACGAGAGGGTAGTGGGGGAGGGGGGGAGGGTTATCGTATAAAACGTTAACTATCATTTTCGAGACCCTTTACAATCCTCGATTACTTTTCGGGTGAGAAGAGGCGTGGAGGGGAGAGGGTGAGGGAACTAGGTTAAAAACTTGCGAGTATCGGATTTGAAAAACAAAATGTGTGAGGAAAAGTAATAGGATACTTTTTAATATATAAGTAAATAATCGACGAACAAAAAAAAAATTGAAAATGATATAAAAGATGTTCCGATGGTCATCTTCACCGAGTCTTCTCAAAAGATTAAAAAGTTGTTCATACCAGTTCGAACTTTTCGCGAGCGACGAATGCGATGAACAACGCATCAATCAAGATAATAATTATTCTGTCTCACTTTTGTAATTAGAGTGTTCCACAGTAAGACAGCTCGCCTTCCAAGTATATATATACACTACAAACATATATATATATATATACACACACATACACACACACAGACAATGATTAAACGAATGAAAGGGAAAAAAAAAAGAAAGAACAAACCCAGCAACATATGCATCCCACTTTTATCATCGTTCACGAGTTATCGAGGAAAGTGTCGTTAGTATTTCGTCCGAGAACAGAATACCATTGCAATTTTTATCTCGATGTTAAAAAGAGAGAAAGAGAGAGAGAGAGAGAGAGAGAGAGAGAGAGAGAGAGAGTAAGAAAGAGTGAGAGAAATGGAGCGAAAGGGAGAGAGAGAAAGAGATAGAGTGAAAGTGAAAGTGAGAGAGAGAGAGAGAGAGAGAGAGAGAGAGAAAGAGAGAGAGAGAGAGAAAGTAAGAAAGAAAGAAAGAAAGAAAGTTAATTAGTTAGGTCCCCGTTTCGGTGGGACTGATAATCAAGACTGGACACGCCATACGATAAATATTATCGTCTTTTTCATCGGCATAATGTATTATTATGGGTAAACGATTCCTATAAGGTTTCGCTAATTTTAGACAAATTAAATAGGTAGGTCGATACGTGTTTTATCGTAGAGGCTGTTTCAATGTACAAAATATTTCGAGTACGTAGCATTTACGTAGGTGGTACGTACGTTGTTTCAATTTCGTACGGATTTTTGAAACGAGGCGAGTTCGACTTTTCCTATCCTTTTTATTCTACTTTTTTTTTGTGAATTTTTTTTTTTTTTTTTTTTACTTTTTCCTTACTTTAATTTCAATCTCTTTTTGTGTGAATAATAACTTTCATGCGAGCTGGCCAACTCGATTTGTACCATTATAAAGGAAAAAACAAAAAAAAAAAAAGAAAAAAAAAAACGCTTTACCGGTGTACACGGTATTGATTAGAGACCAATGATCACTTCTTTCTTTTTTGTCACACGTTACGAAGGCTTCGAAATAATTTTAGATATAAATAAAGCCGGTGTTCCGATCTCGATCGATTTCTTCATTTGAATTCTTATAAACACACATACACACACATACATATATTCAAACGACATTTTGCACGTTTTAATTAAAACAAAACGTGTTCAGATTACAAGATTATTATCGGACATGATTCCTTTTACGCTCGCGTGCAGTATACCTTAATGATATATATATATATATATAAATGAAAGAACAAATTTTGTTCTGTCTGTGTTCGTAAAATGAATAATTTAAAAGTAACATACTAAACGCAAAACTACAACAACTACAACAACAACAACAGCAACAAGAATAAGAATAATAAAGAATAAAAAAAAAAAAGTAATTATTATCAAATTATCAAGATATTCAAAGACTACGTGTTAATATATAGATATAACATCTTAACGTGTTGTATAATAAAATACAGGTTTGTACGTGGAGAAATGTTTGATTTTTAATTAATCCTTTACCTTGTCTTTTACTATTGTTTTCATCAGTTAGTAAAGAGGCGACTTCTGTGAAAAGCGTGTACCTGAAAATAGTTTTATCAAAATGAAACTATGACGAGTATACTCGTGAAATATGGAGTAACTGCTGTAATATTAAATTAAGTTGTAATTAAATGACTTTTATTCTTGTATATAAAATCATTAATTATAATATTAACTATTTATTTAATTTAAATGTATAGTTTTTTTGCATATGAAATTATACTCGTCAATCACTGCTAACTGATTAAAAGTTATAATTGTGTTTAATAGATATAACAATAAGCTTTTCTTTAAAAAGCTGAATTCACCTGCAATTGAAAATAGAAGGTCTGTGATGGTGTAAGGAAAGTAAGTACGAGTTATTGCTTTTTTTTGTTAAAAAATTCATTTAATTAAAGCCCACCATAAAGTAGGCCTTTTCGGCTCGGAAGAGTCTTTGTACAATGGAATGAGAGAACGTTTGTTTTTATACAAAATATGACATTATCTATATTCGCTGATGAGTATGTATATTCATTTACTTGAACAAGATGAAGACCGGTTCTCGTTACATTGAGATTTTTTTTCGAGAACCGGATGAGAGAAGAAAAAGAAAGGAGAAAGAGCGTGAGAGTAAGAGAGAGAAAGAGAAAGAGAAAGAAATGAACAAAAAGATATTAAGAGGAAAAGGAATGTTTTTGGAGGTTACATTGTCGCGAATATTTAATTAATAGCGATCAGTACGATCGCGACAATGCGTTCGTTTTTTTTTTTGTTTATATCGATTATGCGAACGAGCACGACGCGTTCGATGAAAGAAACGCCACCGATTTTTAAACTTGTGAACGTTACATTAAAAATAATTATTACAAAATTATTACAAGAATTTAGTTTCAACTGTACAAGAGCGTAAATAAATTTTCGTCGAACGCGTTGTGATCGTTAAGAAGTTGTTTTATTCTTCTTCTCTTATTTGTTCTATTTTACAAACAGTCTCTAAAGACCTTTTGTTTGAAATTCATATTTTTTGATTATAACGGCGAGTACCTTACGATTTCGTCGATTTAATTAATTATTTACACGTCTACTTAAACGTTTTAAACTATTTATCGTATTTACAATATTCGCACGAGTATTATTTTCTTTTTCTTTTTTTATTATTATTTAAACTATCGAGATAAAAAACGTCGATCGATCGAGATAATTATTATACAATAATACATCTTATTGAGAACTCTTCTTAAAATGCGATCAGTCTTCTTCTCGCGCGTATCCTCTTTATCACCAGATTTACATTCATACAAAACATCATCCCGTTTTTATTTGATATTTTTGTCGAACATATATGATATTATTACGTTCGCGACACGAATAAAAATCTATAAATTATTATCTACTAAAGAAATTCTCTTCTTTTACATTTTAAATACAACACAAGTTAATTTAAAACGAAAATAACATTTCGTTCAAGAAAATGCATAAACTCCTTTTAACGACAATATTTTAGAACACAAAACAATTCTATTACATTCGATTAGTAATGATGTATTATCCATGCAAGGAGTTAAAAAACACATTCATTCACTTGAAAACAAATATTACAGTTTACTATTATCGACACTTCACTCGCGATACAATCTTCGTTATTCAACAGCACCCAATAATCAATACAAAACTATCACGTTTGATCTGTTTTAACGAAGAGTCTCTAACAATTTTTCAAATTAATTAGTATACAAATGTTCCTTTACACAGTCTTTCTATAAAGTTATTGATTTCGATGAGAGCCAACGGCCATTAGCCATTAGTTTAAATATACAATAACAATACTAAAATTATTCCACAAATTTGTTGAAGTAATTAATTTAGATCCTCAATTCAGCGTTGGTAACGGGTATACCTCTATTGGCACTTTGACTGGCTCTCTGCGTTGTAGGTGGAACTAAAGGACTGATACTTGGACTCCTAGTAGCCAATGGTGACAAGGACGGTGAGAAACTTGGACTTAGAGCAGCCGAAGGGAAAGTTGAAGCATCGTGACTGATTGGTGATCTTGGCAAGATAGCTCTGGCCAAGGCTGGAGCTGCCAAGGATCTTGGGGCAACAGAAGTTAAAAGAGGTGGCGGCGGTGCTTTATGTACAGACTTGGCTCTACCACTGCTACCAGAATTTCCGCTTTGTACGCTGGCAGCATCGTCCTTGAGCCTAGCGATCTCACCGAAAACATGAGCTAATGGTTGATATTGAGGGCCCCAATCTAAAAGATAATCCCAATTATAAGACCCAGTAAGTTCTTCCTCGCTATGAACAATGGAACTTAAGGAACCGTTCATGCTGGGTCCCCCAGGTACTTCCAGACCTGACGTAGGCCGTCCAGGTTCGCCGATTTTTCCGTATATCAATGTAGCGATGTCTGCTTCCGTCGCAGCTTCGTCTTCAAATAAATGGAGACTATCTAAGGGAAGAGCTTCCGGTGGTCTTCTCGGAGTACCAGCTGGTGGATCAACGATACCTAACCTAGCTAAGTACTCCTGTGTATTGTGAACGGACAAATCGCTAGCTGAGTCTCCCGTTTGTTGTCCCTCGTTGATCATTCTTATTTCTTCGTCTTCGCCATCGTCCTCGGCTGATCCTCGTCCCGATGATCCTGATTGATCGCTACCCGAAAGTTCAGATGTAGCTTGCTGTTGACCGGATTGTCCTGAAGTTCCATATGGTGGTATCTCATCGTACTTGGGTGGTGCGAACTGACACGAAGCACCACCTCCTCCGCCACCACCTCCAGCAGAACCTCCATTTCCGTTTCCACCTACTCCAACGACGCTTCT